TGACCTCAGGGTTCTTTGTGCCCCAGGCTCCCTCATTCACGTCCACTTTCCTGTTTTTCAAATTCATTGCCTTTAAAGACCTGAAAAAGCCCCAGGCTTGTTAGCCAAACTGGCTGTGAGGCCACAGAGTGCCCAGAGGATAAAGTTGTTGGGGAGAGTTTGGTTAGTCTTTCATGCCCTAGACCCAGATTTTTTCCTAAGTAGTCTCATCCTGAATCCCAGTCCCTCCTTGGCTTCCTGGGGAGGTACGAACTTAGAGCTCCCACTAGTGGCAGGAGTGGGCCACCAACATTGCTTGGTTTCTCAATGGTTTCTTACTCATTGGCCATAACAGCTAGGCCTATAGTTGCCCAGGAGCATCTCAAAACCTGTGTTTAGTTTTAGGGGACATTTCTTCTGACACTATCACTTCTCTGTGGACTTACAGGGAACAATGATTATGCCTTTCGGCCTTTAAGTGGGTTTCTTCATGTTAATCCCTAAAGCATCAGGCAGTAGGAGGGACCAAGTTGAAAGTCAGCTCATTGCAATGGGCACCTGCTCCTTCCCCTGCAATCTCTTTTGCTAAAGATTGTTCAGAATCAAGAGCTGTGGATTTCTCTCTGTGTCTCTCACTCACACACACACACACACACACACACACATGCTCACATTAAATTATATGATCCTGCTCTTCCACCAGTAGCAACACAGACTAGGCAGCTGCGAAGGTTAGAGAAAGCAGATTGTAGAAGCTCCAACAGTGATAAGCAGAGCAGTCTCTCCCCTCTTCTCCCTGGTGATGCCTCCCTCTGCCTTCTCTTAGGGTCAGAATGGGGAGAGTGGAGGAGACCAGGCTGAATGGGCACAGCCGGTCCCTCAGTCTTCCCAAAGGCAAGCTGCCTAGCCACCTCTGTCAGCCCCAGGAACAGTGGGGTTCTTGTGTGGCCTGAGATCAATTCTAGGTCCCTGGGGAATTAAACTATAGTTGGGGTGGGGGGGAGCAAAATCTTTATAACAATAAGGAACATGCTTGTCGGGTATATCCCTCCAGACACATCATTGGAATAACTGAGTGGGCATAGGATCAGGCATTCAGGGTCTCTGGGTCAAATTCCATACTATCTCAGCACACTAATCCAGTAAAATTACTGCTATTAAGAATGATAGTTTCATAAATAACCTCATGATGCAAATCCTGATTATCACAATGAGAAGCCAATTTTTCTTACCATATCCTGTGCCTGTCTTCTTATATGCTTGAATTAATGAGAACTCTGAATGCAGTTGACTCATGAGGTAGAACGTTTGGTGAACCAGCCACCTGTGGTTCCTTGCTGCTAGACATCAGAACTTTCACTGCTTCCCAGGGGGAGGTTCTGAGCCAGAGAGCTGGAGAGGTTCTCTTCTCAAAGGAGAACTGAGCAATGATACTAAAATGTGCTGAAGCAATACATGGTAAATTGTGCTTCCCCAAAATTCCTGTGTTGAAATCCCAATCCTAGCACCTCAGAGTATAACTGCCTTAGGAGATAAAGGCTTTCACAAGGTGCTAAAATTAAAAGGAGGCATAATTGTGAATCCCCAGAACAATGAAATGGATGTTACTGTATGAAAAGGAGGTTGAGGGTGGAGGGTTAGCCTAGTGGTTAGGGTGCCCGCTTCAGAATGGCTGGGTTCGAGGACCAGCTCTGGTTTCTCACTACAACTTCCTGCTAATGCAGACCCTGGGAGGCATTAGGAGAGACTGAAGCAACTGGCTTCCTGTCACCCACATGGAACCCCTGGATGGGAGCTCCTCTCTTTCTCTGACTCTCAAAAACAAATAAACAACCTTTCAGCTTCTGTCCTTAGATTCTGGATGAAAAAGAAATGAGGACTCAGAGGCACAAAAGGAAGACTACATGATGTCACAGAGCAGAGTTAGCCAATTGCAAGCCAAGGAGAGAGTCTTTAGAAGAAACCCATCCCACAACACGTTGATCTCAAATTCCAGCCTTCAGAGCCTTGAAAAAATAAATTCCTATTGCTTAAGCCATCCAATCTGGTACCTTATTCTGGAGTTCCTAGAAAATCAACATGCCAAGGCTGGAGGGTTTTCTTGAATATTTCCATGTAGTGCAGAATTCAAAATGATACCACTGACAGAGCCCTGCTCCCGTCCCTGGGTTCCCTCCCCAGATACAACCACCTGTTTGGCCAGACTAAAACTGGGATTGGAAATCGCAGTCCAGATTTCCCATGTGAGTGGCAGAGTCATTTTATACAGGGACTTTAGTATCTGCCAACATGGGCATCTATGGAGTGTCCTGAAACCACTCCACCAGGGACACTAAAGGCTGATCATATTCAGCCCTAAAACAGACACAGTATCTAATCCAGATCACCTGCTTTCTAGTGATCAGGTTCAAGTTCCCACAGAAGTGTCTGGTGTCAAGCCTCAGACAAGCCAAGTTGGTCCAATGTTCATCCAGTTCTTTTCCTGAAAGAACAGGCAAACAAAAGCCTTCTTTCACAGCCTGGGAATAAACAACTCCTATGAAAAATAAGGGCTTTGTAGCTTTGCCAGAAAGTCAGCAATGATAAAACAGAAGAAGCAGAGGGCAAGTCCGGGTCAATGTGCCCCCCCCCCCCGAGGGGCCTTGTTTCCAAAATGGTCACGTGAAGATGCTTCCTCCACTCACTATCTCACCAGCAGTGTTTTGAAAACAGTGGAAGCATGTGAAACAGGCCGGAGACAGAAGGTGAAAGCTCCAGTTGGGATGGGCTGCCTCGACTCTGCACGTCCAGAGGGCAGAAGCTGTGCTTCGCTTCTGACACAGCTGAAGACACAGGATTTAAAAAAAATTATTACAATTTATTTTATTTATTCAAAAGGCAGAGTGACACAGTGAAAAAGATTTTCCTTGCACTGGTTCATTCTTCCAAATGGCAACAACAGCTAGGACTGAGCCAGACCAAAACCAGACACCAGGAACTCCATCCAGGTCTCCCATGCAGGATGGCTGAGGTCCAAGAACTTGGATTATCATCTGCTGCTTTTCCAAGCAGATTAGTAGGAAGCTGGATCAGAAGTGGAGCAGTTAAAACCTGAACTAGCACTCTGATGTGGGATGCCAGTGTTGCAGGCAGTGGTTCAGTCCTTATTGGCCCTTGGATTTATTTTTTGTTTCACACCAATTGTTACAGCCCCCTCCCAAAGATTCTGATCCATCAATATGGGTTGGAATCTGAGAGTCAGCATTGATTTGAAAAACTCTTTGAGGTGGTTCTCTTGTGTAGCCATGGCTGCAAACCACTGTCTTAGAATCCCGGGGGGCGGGGGGAGACAGAAAGCAGGTGAAAAATGACATCAGATGAGATGTGTCTAGGTTGTGACCACAAGCTGAGACCAGTTGCATATTCTAGAAGTGCTAGGCACCTGTTTGATGAGTTTCAAACAATGGTTGTGATTTAGAGGAAAGAAGTCTTGGCTAAAAGCCAGGAATCACAGAATCAGTACTGATTTGGAGAATCCCTCAAAAATCACCTCCTATAATTTTTTTCCTCCTTGCTGTATGAGCATGGGTCATTCAGCTTATGTCTCTTGGCCTCAGTGTTCCTGTTGGTTAAGTGGACAGGTTAGATCAGATGCACTCAAGCACGTCTTCCAGTTCTGCTCTTCTGTCATTCTAAGAGAGTTTTCCAGCAGTAGAGGAAGCAAAAGTTGTCCTTACATATCCAGGTCGATAGCTTGGCTGGAGGTATACTGGGAATCTTCTAGTCGTGAGCCCTCCAGCTGCAGCCTTCTCTGCCAACCTGAGCTCTTCCATTGGCAGCCCAAGCTCCACCTGTGGGGCCTGCCTCCAGCCGGCTTTCTGGGGGCAAGATGAAGGATTTCATGTGATATATGTGAGGACAGCCCAGCTTAATTGCAGGAGCAGTCCCCGACTCTGTCCTCTGTTCCCCAGCAAGCATGAGGCCTGATTGCTGCTGCTATCTGCACAGGATGTGGAGGAATACGGAAGTTTACATGACACCAGTGTATGGCATCTTCCGGGCCATGTCCGTGGAGCCCAGCCAGTGGATGCCGTGCCCCTCCCCATTATCCCCGTCCTGCCCCATTCAGTGGGCCTGGCCAGCCTTGGGGTTCCTGCTTTGTACTTTTCTGAAATGATGAGTTTCTGAATGGAGCGCAAGAAACTGGCTAACAGAGCAACATAAATTGTTGCTTACTTCTGTGTAGCATCTCTGTACTAGGAATGTCAGACTAAGCTCTCCAAGCCTCAGACTCTGACCATAGTCATCCTGGCTGATCTCTAGTACAAACTGTCCTGTCCAGTGCAGAACTCACTAGAAAACCACAAACTTGCCTTTAAACTTGAGAGAACGGTGCCCTGAAACATCCCGTGGATGATACTGGGAGGCAGAAGAGCACAAGGAGCTTTCAGGTGAGATTTCCTACCACTAATTAAACCTTGGTACTTCTAGGGTTTAAGCAAACTTGGGGAAGCAATGGGTTAAAAGGTCCTAAATGGGTACAGGTCACACCTACTGGGAAATAAGTCCAGCAGTTTCCAGAACTGAAAGCACATTTGAGAACAGCCGACAGCCTTTGTTTTCATTTCATCATTATGTAGTTTCTGCCCTGAGTGTTTTATAGCATACATATATATCCAGTTGTCCCACACTATTTGTGAAGTGTTGGCTATCAAAATACTGAGATACTAAAGTCCCTAGATAACAGGGTGCTGTATCTGCCCATAGCCTATGCTCATCTTCTCATATACTTTACATTATCTCTGGATAGTACCTAACAATATGTAAATACTATGTAAATAAGTCATGATGATACCACCAGTGTCTGGCATCACAATATATTAAGAAGTTCTTGGGCCCTAGGCTCTGAAAGGCAAGGAAGGACTGAAATTCAACCCCATGCCCAGCTCACCAACCCACATGCCACAGAGAAGCACATCCATCCTAGGAAGAGATGTCCTCTATGAATCCTCACAAATGTGCTCAAAGCATCAACAACAGCCTTGTTTTTGTCCTTTATTTGATTGCAAGTTTGCCACTTAATTTTGGTTTTATAAATACAACTTATTGCTTGTTTTTTCTTAGTCCCAATAAATCTGAGAACCCCTGGAGAATGTGCATTGTGGTGGGAGTAGAATGAGATTTTGACTTTAGCAGGTGCAGCCTCCCCAAAACACAGTCCTCCCGGAATGAGCACTTAAATGCTGTATAATACCATTTCCTGTCCCTGTGTCTGAGATGCCCTGAGGTCAACTGGCAAGATGAGATGTTCCCTAGGGAAAACCAAAAATATAAATCCTGAGTCCTGCCTCTGGGGAGGGCCAGCCTGCCTCAGATAGCTCTTTTGGACTTGGTCATTCAGCAAAGGGAGGTTCCAGACCACAAATCCTGAGGCCACTGTAGAATAACAATCCCTTTGGATGCAGCCATCGGTGGCCACGGAAGACCACATGTGTCCCAGCTCACATTTGCCTGCAAACCGCGTCAAGTTCTATTTGCTGGGAAATGCAGGGTTTTCTTCCCAGGTGTCCTTTTCCTATTGGGGAGTAACTCTGCTTCCCAGTTGTCAAGGAGCACTAAGAGGGCTGAGATGGGTGTCTCCGAGATGTCTATGTGGTGCCCCTGGGGTCCTCAAGCATCAGTTATAGGCTCCTTCATGGACTTGACAAATTCCTTGACTTCCTCTTCCAAAACCTTGTTCCTCCTCTCAACGTCCTCCCGGGAACGTTCCACGTCACGGAGCCTGATTTCCAAGGCTGCAAATCTCTTCTTTTCCTGTTCCAGTTCTTCATTGAGCCTCACAACTTTAGCCCAAACATCATAATTTTCCTTCTCCAGGCTATAAGAAAAGAAAGCAAACAGGGCATTAATGCTACATTCTGCCTTCACCTTGGTTGGCCACCAACTTCTTGCTCATTTTTCTTCGATCGTAAGACTCATATTCAACCCATACCCCTTACTCCTATCCTACCTGAAGATTTCCCAGTAAAGCCTCAATTCTCCGAACATGCCTGAGCCCATCCTTTCGCATTTAACGTTCTATGGTTGCTGTTGATTTTTATTCTGTTCTGTCTCATTTTCTTTGTAAGAAAGGATCACCCTATATGCGTATTACTAGTCCTGCTCAATAAAAGTTGTGAAAGCCCCATCTTCATGGGTGGACACATGCCATTATGCTCCCTATAGAAGTCCTACTGGGCACCAGTGTTCGGAGAAGCAAAGGCAGTCATCTATGGAGAGAAGTGGTCCCAAGAGTCCCACCCCCTCTTGTGAATCCTACTCCAAGTGAAATATCTGCAAGATTCTCAGTTCCTTGAATTTTCCACAGTTACTGGCCAAAATCCATACATGGTCCTGGGTGTTCCCTTTCTAGGTTGTGCTTATTAACCCTTAAAAACAAATACACACATATCATTTCTAAGCCCAATGAAGCAATTTCAGATGTGCAAGGTGGGGAGATGGGGTGAGGTTGTGTGATTAGAAATTTGCTTAGACTCTCATGCTGTGGTGGGCTCCCTCCCAACAATGTTGGCTCCTCAAAATGTTTGCTCATGATCCTGTGGCAACCTGAGATTTCTTTTGAGCCCATGTCCTGGATTCTATCTACAAGGCTATAATGGACCCACTTCAAAGCCCGGCCTATGCCTGCCTGGCTCTTCTGAAAGCGAAATGGGTCTCATTTCTACTGACCATTATAATTTTCTTTTCCACATTCTCTATATTCATCTGGGTTCCAGGGGAGATCCAAAGGGAGAAGTTGGGCTCTTTCTTAACCATGGAGTCCAGGGCCAAAATGGAATCCATATGGGCTTTGGCCACTGGTTGGGCTTTGGCCACTGGTTGGGCTCTGGCAACTGGTAGACCCAGGTTCACCTGCCTCGCCCATCTATGATCAGGTCTGTGACCTTCAATAGTATTTTATACCTCCTGATCCTCATCACAGGGTTTCTGTGGGACTGCAGGGAAGATGTTCTAAAGCATAAAGATCAGAGCAAACACTGCTGCCCATCAAACCTAGCCCCTCTGCTGTGGCTTTCAGCCTGTCAGTGGGCTCAGACAGTTCTGTCCTAACCAGCAGGAGTGGGCCCTGCTTTGGCAGCTGGTTCTTCTTCCACTCTTTCAATGACACCATGTGAGAGTGCACTGCGTGCCTGCTCTGGACTGCTCTGCTTACTGCCAAGATGTTCCATGAATCTCATCATCTCATCTATGACTGTTGTTATGTTCCTGGACACAACACTACATTTGCTTCTAGAAGGGCAGCTCTGGACTAAGAAGTAGACATAGATGGGAAAAACCACTAATTCACATTATATTCTTATGACTTGTGTTCATACATGCAAAGACTGAATAGGAATCCAACATGAGAAAGAAATTTCAAAACTACATTTTCCCAGGTGTGTCCAAGCATCTTAGGAATTGGCCTATAATTGTGGCTGTGACTTCCTAACAGGTCTACTCCCCCTGTTTCCTTACTGCAGTCTGTGCCTAGCAGGAGGTCAATGACCAATGAAACAAGTTGGAATTGTCCAGAGGCCTCATTCAGGCTTTCCAGAAGCTGACAAAACCCTGCTGTGCTCTGGTCTCCTCTTTCTCCTCTGGCTCTCTGTTTCAGCTCTCTGCTGACCCCTTCTCATGGCCCCCACACCTCTGCTTCTCTCTACCTGCCATGTTCTTCCAAAACACCTGATTGTTTCCTCATCTTCTACAGGATTGAAATGTCCCCAAAGAAGACCTTCCCTAACTCCCCTACTGTCATTGGAAACTCCCTTCTCCCTTCTCCAGTTTCCCAAACCACTCCATGGCATTCTCCACCATCTCACAGAGCATACACTTCATCATGCAGATTCAAAATCTATGCTCACTAGAAACAGAGTTTTGGAAGTTAGTGGAGCTTTATCTGTTCTTGTCCAGTGCTGTTCCAGCGCCTGGCACCTGGGAGGCACTCAAGAAATAGCTGCAGTGCCAATCAATGGCTTTGAAAGGAAACAACTTAAAAGCTCCTTTTAGTCCATTCAAGTATGTTGATTCGCAAGCAGTCACAGCTTATTGGGAAAATACTGATTGAGATGAATTAGCAATTTAAATTTTCATAAATCAAATCCTAAGTTCAGAGCTTTCACAAATTTAATCATCTCATCACTTCCTGCCTTCATTTTCTCTCCACCCCTCCCCCCTCACTTTCTCTCTCTCTCTCTCTCTCTCTCTGGCCTGCCGCATGCCACTGTCTTCCTTACACTGAATTTTACAGTGTGAATTCTTTGGGAGGTTAGAATATTTCTAAGGGAGAGAATTTCTAAGGTGAGAATGTTTCTAAGGGAGGCCAAGTGCCACCCAGCGTTCCTGGGTGCATGACTCACTTTTTAATCTGTGCCTCATACGTTTGCTTTTGTGTTTCTATTTCCTGCCGCAGTTCCCGGACCACCCTCTGCAGAGACTGAAATTCCTCTTCTTCAGAGTTCTGTTTTCCAGACCCAGTTTCCGAGTGTGGGCTGGCAAGGGTGTCTCCCTTGGTGTCACAGGCAGGGGAAGAGACAGCAACCACTTCCTGCTGTGAGGACCCTGCTGGGATTGGGACGTTATCGTAGGTGGAAGTCCGCTGGGAATCAGAAAGGTGGCGCACATCTTGAGACATGGTTCTCCTGTGTCCTTCCCCTGCCTTCGCTTCACCTGAAGGGGACCAGAACTCATTCTGAAAGATCTCCATCTTGCTGCTGTTCGGGCTTTGCAGTGCTGATGTCAGGAAACACTTCCGGTTAGGAAGCGTTTGAGTCCTTTTTCGCGACTGCATCTTCCAGTCTCCCGGTTTGTCCCTAGCCACTCTGCTGCTGTCGTCCAGGAGCCCGTCGCTCTGTGGTCCAAAGGGGCTGGTGGCTTCTGAGTCGCTTGTCTGGAAAACAATGGCCATGGTGGTTACAAGATTCTTTCCCACCCTATATTGTGTCCCCAAATAAGAACTTGGAAGAAATTGTTTCTTGGTCGCGTATCTATGACACTCTTGAGTAGAGGAGTGGCGCTTGACTTATTACATTGGTTCATTACTTGCATGGTACTCTTTTTCCATGAGGAAATTGAACTTACAACAACCCATACTCTACATATGAATCGATTGTTTTGCTTTTGGTAAAAGAATCCTAACTAGGATGTTTTTATAACCTTGGAATGGGAGGTCTTTCTATGACTCAAAATGCAGAAAACAGAAAAATTCAATGAATTTAACTGTCATAGATTTCCTTGACCATTCAGTTAAAAGGAACCAAAATAAAGGAAGCAAGTCACACATGCTAATTCAAAAAACAAATGAAAAAATGATAAGAATATTTACAATGTTTATCCCAGGGAATGCTAATATATAATGCTTATAATAATCAAAACCATCCTAAAAAAAGCAACCGCCCAATTGCCAACATAAATATAGGTGAAGGACATGATTAGATAGGGAAATAATGTAACTAATTTTTACATACAAGAAAAATCTCTCTCATTATAGTAGAAATTCAAATTACTGACACACCAGCTCTTTCCTAACATATAGACAAACAATACAAATTTGACAACATATTGTTGACAAAACAACAGGGAGACAAGTTTTTTCATATACTGCATGGCATAAATTCTAATAACTTTTATAAAATTATACATTCAGATCCATTTGTTTTCTGATCAGTCACAATTCTGAGAGGGTACTGCAGGAAAACATCTGCATGAATATGAAAGGAGACATGATGTTTTTTGATTGGGACTGGTTAAGTCAGATATGAAACATGCCCAGAGCAGAATGCTATATACCTGCCAAAAATGTGAATTTATGTGTGTCAGCTGTGTTTGCACTGAAAAGTCTCCAAGACTTTGTGATATTTTGCTAAATACAACAGTGTAAAATAGAGTATGGCCCACCTTGGGCCAGTTAGCTTCTGCCTTGTGCTGTTAAGGTAGATTCCGGAGATTTTGTATATATATAATTTATTTCCTTTGAGACACACACACACACACACACACACACACACACACACACACAGGGACAGACAGGAGAGAGAGAGAGAAGGGTGGGGGGAGAGAGAGAAAGAGAGAGAACAAGAGTGCTCCTGTACAAATGCCTTTAATGGCTCACTCCTCTAAATGCCTATATTGGCTGGGACTAGGCAGGTCAAGGCCAGGAGCCAGGAATTGTGTTTAGGTCTTCCACATGGGTGACAGGAATCCAATTACTTCATCTGGTACCTTCTGCTTCCCAGATTACCTGTCAACAGGAATCTAGAGTGAGGAAGCACTCAGCATGGGACATGGGTGGCCTAACCAGAGTGTTAATCACTAGGCTAGGCACTCATTCCCAGAGGAGATCTATTTAAATTGTCTAGGGCTCAGCACAATGGCTCAGTGGCTAAATTCTAGCCTTGCAGGCAGCAGGATCACATATGGTCACCAGTTTGTGTCCTGGCTGTTCCACTTCCCATCCAGCTCCCTGCTTGTGGTCTGGCAAAGCAGTCGAGGATGGCCCAAGGCCTTGAGACCTGGCACCCGTGTGGAAAATCTGGAAGAAGCTCCTGGCACCTGCCTTCTGATCAGCTTAGCTCTGACCACTGCAGCCACTGTGGAATGAACCAGTAGATGGAAAATCTTTCTGTCTCCTTTTTTCTGTAAATCTGCTTTTCAGTAACAATATTTAAAAAAAAAAAAAGAATTAAAGTGTCCAGTGTGATGGCTGCTGTCCATAGCTAACAATAGACAGCAAGATCCTCTTAAATCAGCATCTTAACAGCTCTTCTCGAGGAGTGCTGGGATGATTTCTTCACACAAAGTGTAAACATTTCTATCTGGTTTTAGGGTGCTAATAAGTTGTGCAGCTTCTAGACAGACATCAACCAAGGAAAACGACAACCTTTCCCTACCTTTCTTTTTTTTTTTCCATTTTTAAGTTTAACAGTAATTTTATAAGTAATTTTAGTTGTCTGGTCAACCAGAAATCTTACATTCTTTTCTTGGCCACACATAATGAATCAAGTTGCTACATTAAGTTTGCCTGCTCTTTATAAAAACATGTGTCCCTATAAGTATATGAAAGTATTTGACCTTTGTGAATAATGATCCTCAAATAGTCTACATGTCAGAGTCTGCAGAGCTTTTCGACATTGAGAACGTGCGCCCCAACCCTTCAGTGTGAAGGAGGGGATGACATTTCTGAGAAGGTTTATCAGGGAATGAGAAATATGACACAAACATCTCGCATGCTCTGAGAAAGAAATCACGTTTCATGGGTTAGCAGGAAACCAGTTCTTGCTCGATCTTCACTCAGGATTTTCAACAGTTCCCACTAACATACTTGCAATGTGGTCTATATTTTGCCCTAGGCCATGAACTTTCTGACCTGCATTTGCAGAGCTTCAGTGAGGACTCCCATTGTTCAGGCTTTGCAGATCAGCAACATGTCACTACCTGCTCCCTGCACTCCATTGCAAGAAGGCATTAGAGAAGAGACTTTGGAGGACAGGCTTTCAGAATGCCCTCATCCTGGTCCACCCTAGCATTCGCCCAAACTCCACACATTTCCCTGCAGAACTCCCATCATCCAGCATGAGTAGAACTAGCAAAAGAGTCTGATGGGATCAGGGAAGCTATGCATCTTACATTATTGAAGCTGCCCGTCCTAGAAACTACAGGGTCTTCAGTGGCATCCCAACCCACAGAGCTGCGAGGCACAGGGGCCTTCTTGGGGTCATTCTTCTGGGCAGGGGGTGACAAGGGTACATCCTTGGACTTGGGGAACAAGATTTCATGGTCTCTGATCATCATTGTCATCACTCTTTGGATCTGAGGTGTCCCTGAAAGAAAGGAGAAAGAGATCAGGAAGCATGTAACCTTGAAGCATCCCACAGACCTCATTTTACTGCTCATATGATCCTTTCCAAGTGCTTGGCATACTGAAGGGATGAAATAGAAGATGGGTAGCAGAATAGGATCAAAGAGAGAGCCGTTAAGGTATTTGATGCCTATGATGGACTGGCTTAGTCTTTGACTAAGAAAGTAGGCCATGTTACAAGAAGAAATACAATGAGAAAAATCAAGACATCTTTTTCTCCCAAGGTGGCTCTCAATATGACATTTGGTTTCTTATAGGACACAGAGAAAGCATGTGCCAGGCACACTGCCTCCCCACGCTTATGACATATATTAGCTGTCTGTGCCAGGACTTGGGTTTGTAAGGACAAGATGTGACTTTAGAAGCCTGCTTGATACATTTTTATGAGCACCCTATTCATGAGCTGGTTCATAAATTGAAACTATTTACTCTGCTTGGCTACACATATTTAAAGGTAACGAGAAATGAAAAAATACTAGCTATGTTCATTTTAGTCTATCATGTGAACAATGGGCAAATCCTTGGCCTCTCTCTCCTGTTGTTATCTAGAAAATGGACACAATTCCTGCCCCACCTACTTCACAGGATTACTGTATAAGCCAATGAAGAGAATCAACTTAGCAAACTGTGGAGCAGCACATAGAGGTCAAGGATCCTGCCGTCACTGCGGCCACTTCCTCTGCAGGGGCAATCCTACCTCTCATGATCACAGCAGGGTCTTCCACTTTTGACCTGATGAGATTCACACCAATCACTGTAGCCAGGTTGTCCACGCTCATCTTGTTAACAGCAGAATTCAACTGGATTTCATGCAGGAACCTGTAAGGATCCCAGAGTAGAAAATGAGAAGTCACTAGGAGGATATCTTTCAAGCCATCAAGAGCCAGTTCCTTCCGCCAGGGCTTTAGGAATGCCCACAAGATAAGCATTTTCCAGAAAGAACCAAGGCTAAGGAAGGGAGGAAAAACTAGGAGGCTCCTGCCCCACTGTTGTGGACCAGGTAAAAGGCTGGAGGTGGGAGTGGAGTTTCATGAGCAGGAGGCAGGATCCTGTTCAAGTGAGCAAAGAAGAGACTGGAATAACTACAGTCTTGTCTTACAGGCTTATCTCCCTGCTCCAGAACCATTCTGCCCAAGTCGCTAAGAGGAAATTTTTATTGGTGAGGTTTTAGACGAGGACTCCATAGTGCCTTCTCACCCTCACCCTTCCACTTCAGTGCAAAACATGTCCAATTTCCAGCAAGTGCCCAATAACTGAAACTGAATTTTTACTATATTTCTATCCACTTGGAGTGAGCCTAGAGCTCTCAAACTCACTGCAAAAGAAAAAGTGAGCACATCAGTGAGGGGATTTCCAGATGTTCTGCACAAATCATTTTAAAATGAGTAGAAACTTCCACACAGAGAGAAACTAACAAATGGTGATGTGTCCAAATGATGAAATGGTGTAGAGAAGCACAGCTTTATTTATTATCTTACGGTCTTGTTTTACAACATTGGGAAATGCGTACAATATAGAATAGAGTCAGAATAAAACAAGGCAAACTACAACCTTTCATATGAGTATATTCAGGTGTACAATGTAACCCCAACTTGTATTTAGATTTGGACCCCACATGTGTGTTTGTGTGTGTGTGTGTGTATAAAACACAAGGTCTATCACAGAAACACATTAAGGATCGCAGCGATTATCACTAGAGTAGGAGTATGGATAATTTCTATTTCTTGTTTATAGGTTGCTGTATAATCAACCAAGGATAACTTTTATAATCTGGAAACCAGAAAATAAATAAGCAAAATAAGTCAGAGATTGGGTCTGGGTGGAATGAAGATCCAGGATCCCAGCCCAGCAACCCTGAGTCAACCCACATGTGGGATGATGCCACAGGCATGAGGTACAGCATATGATTGGAGAGAGTGGATGGAAAAAGGAAAGCATGGATGACCCAGGAAGAATGTATATGGAGTGTTAAGTTTCAGAGCCAAGGTCAGAGAATGAGGGATAATTCCAAAAATATTTTAAAGACTCTGAATTCTCTCATAGGTTCCCTGATGACAGGCAGTGCTGGGACAGGCCTGAAGGAAGTGACTTGTTTGGTTTGTGTGCAAACTGGAAAATTGCGAATCCTTAAAATTACCCTTCAGGAGACAGGAAGCTAGCTTAGTGCTGTGTGAATAGAGCAGACCTCCTAAGGTACTGGACCAGAATAACCTGGTCCTGTTCTTACCAGGGCCTCCTTTGTGCTGCAGTGGAAAGTGGCACGGCTAATCCCAGGGGACTCACCTGCAGAGGTAGCTCAGGAGACTATAATTGTCACGAGGAAGGATGGAGAGCTGCTTCATCAACTCCTGCTGAGCCTGGAAAAAGTTTCAGTTCCCATAAATCCTTTGAGGACCTCTCATACTTGACTTCCTTAAGCTTCCAAATCCCAATAGTGTATTCAAAAATGGAACTTTCCCCCCCCACAAAAATTGCTTTTGCCTATGAGGATAGGTCACCCTGTAGGCAACCAGTAAGTAAACCTGCCCCGGATGTAAGCCTATTTATTTGCCAACAATGAGATCCTGAAACATTTTGGGTTTTTCCAGAAACATCACTTTGGTGGTAATGCTTGTTCATATAGTTTTGTGGGCTTTTTAACATTTTTATTTTGAAAGAGCTATCAATTGTTATTAAGTTGCAAAAAAAAGTCATAGCAAGGGGGTACAGGTATTTAGTCCAACTGTTAAGATGCTCATATCCCACACTGGAGTACCTGGTTTCAATACTCAACTCCAGTTCCTAACTCTAGCTTCCCACAAACATATACCCTGGGAGGGAGTAGGTGACAGCTCAAGTGATTGGGTCCCTGCTGCCCATGTGGGCCATTTGCATTGTGCACTAGACTCCAGGATTCAGTTCTGATGCATCCTCTGACAAGCCCCAGCCATTATGGCTTTGGGAGAGGGAAACAAATCCTGTCACTCTGTCTCTCAGCTAAATAAGTAAATACTTCTTAGCAAAATACTCTAAAAGAGTCACAGTTTTTGTACAATGTTTTTATTTGTCTGTAATTATGTCATATCACCCCATATCACCCCTTGTCACTTCTAAGGCAAGGAGCATTTGACAATGAATACGCATAATAATAGCTTGCTTCATGCATCCTTGAGATATAACCATCCAGTTATGGACTATAAGCAAATTCCTCAGAATCACTTTCAAAGCAATGAGAAAGGAAAATACTTCTGAAAAGTATCTCAAGTACGATGGACTTACTGAGACCTGCTGGGACTGCAGGGCAGGCTGATGACATTGGAAGGCAGGTGCAAGGTCAAAGTGTTCATTAAGTTTTGTGCTGGCTGTGAATACCAGGTATAGTTGCACACAGAAAGCTTGTGCCACAGAGAAAAAGGGCAGGGTGCTCTCTGCTCTACCAGCAGTACCTGCCTGAAGCTTCTGCCACCCTACATGTAGGCACTCCTCAGACCTTAGCGTCTCCACTTGAGAAACTCTAGTGGCTCCAGGTTGGCCAGCTGGGAGCACCATGGATGCTGACACAGAGTGCCTGAGGCTTGCTGAGATCTCTCACCATCGGTCCAGAGAGGTAATTCTTCCCACATGGTGCTACAGACACGCCTCTCTCAGTGACCACTTGTGCCAACCCCATCCTGGCATTGCCAACAGGGCTGGCTTCCTTTGTAGATGCCCGTTTGAATCCTGGCTGCTCCACTTTTGATCTAATTCTGCTGCCAGTGGCCTGGGAAAGCAGCAGAAGATGTCACAAATATTTGGGCCCCTGCCTCCCATGTGGAATTCCCAAAAGAAGCTCCTGGCTTTGGCTTGACTTAGTACCAGCCATTGTGGCCATCTGGGGAGTAAGCTAGCAGATGGAAAATGTCTTTCTTTCTGTATTTCCCTCTCTCACTACAATTCTGACTTTCAAATTGATAATAAAATAAAATAATTTTAAAATAAAATTTTAAAAAATAAAAACAAGGCCTGGCGCAGTAGCCTAGTGGCTAAAGTCCTTGCCTTAAATGTGCCAGGATCCCATATAGGTGCCAATTTATATCTTGGCTGCTCCACTTCCAATCTAGCTCCATGCTTGTGGCCTGGGAAAGCAGCAGAGGATGGCCTGAAGCCTTCGGACCCTGCACCTGTGTGGTAGACCCAAAAGAAACTCCTGGCTGCTGGCTTCAGACCGGCTCAACTCCAGCTGTTGCAGCCACTTGGGGAGCGAAGCAGCAGATGGAAGATTTTCTGTCTCTCCTCTCTGTAAAATGTGACTTTCCAATAAAAATAAATCTTAATAAAAATAAAAATAATAAAAACAACCTATTTAAAGTAGGGACTTGCATGTTAGCAATGTAACATACATGCATCCATTGGTCATTGGGTGTTGAAAAGCTTGGCTAAAAACTATGATGCCTTTATTGTGGTGTGTTTATCCTATTTTGTTTGGTTGGTTTATTAATGTACTTCAATGTGGTTATTATTGACTATAACAGTTCTCTGGAAAGAGTTCACATAGATCCCAAAAAATGCACTTGTGAATCGTGTGCTCTCATGAGCATGATGCTACTGAAGGTGACCACAGACCCTTCCCACTGTGGCTGAAAAGAACGAAGAGACCCCTGCCCTCCCTCTCTCCAGCACATGTGTTACTTGAGCAACTGTACAGCTTCCATAGCCAATACAGGTCTTGAATGGTCCAGCCTCGTCCCTGGCCTCCAGCACAGTCAGTCTGACCCCAGATCTCAGCAGATATTACTCAGCAAGGCCACAGAACCTGCCTCCCTTCTTATTTTTCATCACCATATAACTCTGCAGTAAGAGATCTGATCATGGCCCACCTCCTTACAATCCTAGCCATTTGCCGTTCCATGACTGGTACCGCCTGCCAGTGCCTCTGAGGAAGTTCTAATTTGTCAGGAAATTTCACTGTTGCCTACCAGGCTACTGTGACAGAAACAAATCACTCTCTGCTTCAGCAGGACAACAAGCACTCGCAGCGTACAAACCTTGGCCTCGTCTGCATTCATGAGCTGCCCACAGAGCAGGAATCCCTCGTACTGGCCCCAGGGAACCACGGGCTCTGGAAGATCGCGGACGTAGAGTTTTAGCAGGGAAGCCACAGTGTGCACATCCGTGTCCCTGTAGGCAGATAGGCAAAGCTCTTTAAATAGAATTCAGCAGCACTCCCCTCACCAGCACCCAGGAAACCATCAACAGAACTGCCAGCTTTCGGGGGAGCTTCTCAAAGGAGTAGAGGCTGAGGAAGAAGCCTCACGCCAGAACTCTTTCGCTACTTCACCCACGCCTCCCCGCCCCCCGCGCACCTCCCCCCCCCCGCGCCCCCCACCCCACCGAGTCATCGTCTTACAGGACTTTTTCTCTTCTACCCAAGTACCTGGAAGGGAAATTAAAAATCCAGGACCCAAGATCCCATGGAACTGAGGAAAAAGGGATACCCAAGCCATAGTGGGGATTTTCCAGATAGGCAGTACCCCCCCATAGGATTTGCAAAATGATCAGGAGTTACAACATAGGGTGCACAGCGCGTGGGCTGGCCTGAAGGATGAAAGAGGAGGCCACTTTGCAGGCACTGAGATGGCACTCAGCCCTGACCAACAGTTGGAGGTTGGTGCTCTTCAGTGTCATTTGTCTGGTTTACAGCAATGATCAGCAAATCACAGTCAGTGCCCCCACAGCCACATCTGCTGTATTTATGCAGCCTGTGAGCTGTATGATTTTGACATACTAAATGCCCAAGGAAAAAATACTCAAAGAAACAGGATATTTCACGACATGAAAATGATAGAAAACTCGAATTTCAGTGTTGAGCTATACAAATGTAGGAGCACACAGCCACCCTTGATTATTTGTATGGAATCTTGGTCTGTGTTCTTGCTGTAACAGCTGAGTATGGCTGTGGTAGAGTGGTCTAGTCTGCAGAGCCTAAATATTTAATACCAGGTCCATTAGGAAAATGTGAATGGCCTCTGTTTTGTAAGGCCATTGCATTTATTGCAGGGCTCTACAGGAGAAAATAAATTTTAATCTACCACATACAGTTACATGCTGCTTAAGAAGAAATAGGGCAGTAGGCGATTTTGTCATTGTGTCAATGTCACAGAAAACAGATACCTTACAGATAGCCATGCATTCGAGCTGTATGGTATGCATAATGCCATATATTCAGTGCACTGTTGACCAAGATGTCATTATACAGCACATGACTACACTGTAAGCTCATTAATGAATAAATGCTTATTTTATAGTTGAAAATGATATTATCTTAGTTATTAGGCTATGATACAGCATTTTCCTTTTGAAAGTATTTATTTTTATGTACTTAAAAGGCAGGCAGGCAGGCACACACACACACACACACACACACACACACACACACACACACACACAAAATGTTCCATGAGAGACAGAGACACTTTTCATTTTCCACTTCACCTCCAAATGCCCACAATGGCCAAGGTGAGCCCAAAGCCAGCAGCCTGGGATTCAATCTGGGTATGTAACATGTGTGGCAGGGCTCCAACTTCTGAAATCATCCCCTGGTGCCTCAAACGGTGTGCATTAGCAGAAAGCTGGAGTGTCAGGACTCAAACCCAGCTACTCTAAAATGGGATTTGGGCATCCCAAGTAGTATCTTAACAACTGTGTCAAATCACCCCCAAATTAGCACTCATTGGAGGGAACCCTGGGAGAATCTTGAAAAGTTGCAACTTTATGAGAGGTGCTGATAATCTGGCAAGGATCAGACAGATGTCAGAGAAGCAGCCATCTGGGGCGATGGAACCAAGAACCGCAGGCCTTGACTGCAGCGGCCTGTTGTGGTGTTTTGTGCTGTTTGGCTGGGTTTTGCAGCCAGTTGTCAGAGATGTCTTCTGAAAGGTTCCACCTCTGCAGCCATGATCTCTCTACCTCCACAGGAGGTCACAGAGCTGGCACAGGTACCATCTAAGCTCCCACCCACAGGAAGTCTGGGGTGGGGACCCCACTTCACCTGGGGATTTGGGAAATCCTTTCCTGCTGAGTCACTGCCTAAAAATACTCCTGGACAAAGTTCTGCTGGCAAAACTACTACTCCTGTCAAAATACAATGAGAACTTTCCAAGAGAATGTCAGAAAGCAATAATCTGCAGGAGCTGCATTCTTGCCATGTTCTAACATCCTAGTCTCTTAATGTCCTCACTCTCAGCTTACCTATTGTCTTTATCAGAATCTCAGAATTCTGGTTTTAACAGAGCCACATCTTCACCCAACCTCCAATGACTCTTCTTAATCCCTCAAATCCATTGCTCCCAAATTGTGTGGATCCCACAAAGCCCATCTCCTTCACTCACTACCCTGCTTCAAAAGGTCAGTGTAGTTCCTTAGGACTCTGCCCAGCCTCCTACCCAATCCCTTTGTCTCCGATGTCCCCAAGTCACTGATACACTGTGCACTGCCTGCATAGCCATCAACACACAAAACACACTCATGAAGCAAAAGCAGAAAAAGAAGGGTTTGGAGTTTTAAAAAAAATAACATAAATGATACGTGAAAAATTGAACTTTTTAAAGACAAATTTTTTTTTTTAAAAAGGCAACTAAATAGTTTGATCAGGGAAATGTAAACATATCAAATAGTCAACATTAGAAAAGAGAAAGGAGTTACAGAGATAATAGACAGTTCAAAGTTACAATAAAAACACAGCCATATGTGAGTTATTATCTCAGGATACTGAGGCCAACAAGAAAATTCCCAATTCATTTTACCAAAGGTTATGCTGATAAGGAGTGTCAACCACTTGGCCAGCTAATTGCTTTATTGGGTCTCAACTTAAACGTCATTTTCTTAGAGCCCTCCTAAACTTCACCATACTCCTGTTCCAAAGCTGCTTCAGAATCTATATCCCAAGTTTTAATAGTACTAGCGGTCCTTCTTGTTTACGACTCAATACAGTAGACCTTACATAGCTATTCCTGCAACTTTCGGTTTTAATTTCTGTGCTCTTATCATACCATGGCTGACTCAGATCTCAATCATGAGATCCAAGTTTCCAACATACATTTTCCTGAGTTGGCTATTCCTCTAACCCACTGAGACATCATTGAATAATTGTTTTTAAGTCAAGGACCAAAAGCAAGACAGGAAGGAGCCAGCTGGCTTCTGCGTTCAACAATGGAGCCACTGAAGACTACCCAAGACCTCAAATGGTTCTTCTGGCCCTTCCCTTGTAGTGCTAATACTCATAATGTGTGTCCATCATTTATAGAAATGGAGGGAAGGAAGAGAAGAAGATCAGCATTGTTAGGCAAGACAGCCAGTAAACTGGACAAAGACATTGGTTTTCATTCTTATCTATGTGTTTTTTAAGATCCACATACACCTGCATTAGAATCTTACTGAATGGTGTCTTTTTCACCTTTATTCTACCTAACGATTTGGATCTTACGGCAGAACCAAGAATATACCAACACAGATGACCTGTGATGCACACACAGGACTCCAACCAAACGGGCTTCTTGTTCCCATATCTCCCATTTTCCGCTTATCAATGCCTAAAATTTATTTTAGGTTACAATCACAGGAAAGCTTACAAAACCAATGACCCAAGAAAGATCAAACAAAACTAGTGAATTAATTCTGAAGTGAAGATGGTCAGAGTCAGGGTGTTTCCTGAGAATCAGTCTGGCCTGAGGATAGGAGACAAAGAGACTGACCTTGAGAATGAGTTAACCTGCATTGTGTATGTGGGTGGGGAGAGAGGGGAAGATTTGGGGATGAGGGCAGAAGAACGGATAAAGGGAGGATTTGGAGATTCATGAGAGGCCCCAGAAGCAGAAGATCCAAGTCCTACTCTTTAGAGTCCAGGATCAGGCTGCCTAACCCTGGGCAAGGTGCCTCAGCTTTGTAATGCTTTGTATCCTCCGCACAGCAGCAAATACCCTGTTGGTTCTGCAAGGTTGTCTGCTGCACCAAATCAGAAAATTTGTATAAAAGTAATTCTAAAACTCTTCCCTTCAATGTGGCATTAGGAATTCATATTACATTGCCAAGGGCAAAGAAGTGGAGACTTGGGCATGAAGATGAACTCTATTAACTTCACAGGCATGCCCAGAGGGCAAAAGCCTGTGGGATGCTTTGCCCTAATGATATAGAGGAAGAAAATAAGTTTTCTTAATCCAAACCAGCTCTCAGAGGAGGCTTTGGCTCGGCTCCTACATATATTTGAACAGAATACAAATGAGGACCAGTTAATCCTCCCCGCATCACATTCATCCTCTTAGGGGACTACTTAGACTCAAGAGATGCTCTGATAGAGCCCTAAAGAATGCAGGTGACCCTTCCTACTCCTGGATATATAAACTCTACCTCTTGCTTTCACAGAGCAAAATGTCTTGACCAGATATGGTAACAGTCTTTCTTCCTACCTCAAATGCTCCATAAGAAATCAAACACTCTACCACCATCCACATTCTGATTCTATAGGTGCACAAGCCAAAATGTAAGGCAGTTATTTGGAAAATCCCAACAATCACCTCTATTGCTTGTGGCTTACTTTTTGAATCACCTGCATCTTTTGATCTACTCAAATCTAATAAAAACATAATAAATAGAAAACTAAATGCGAAGGTGGCAAACCCAATGGAACAGGTTATGAACATGAATTATAGTTTATATTGCTGCTGAGAGGTTCCTAATGTTGATGCCTATAATCCACCAGGGTCATAGTAACAACTCCACCTTAGGGCTATCCAATGAGACAGTGGCATGCTAATATAGAGGTAGCACTCTAGGTAAATTATCGTACTGCATACCAACAGCACACAAAACAGACACAGTGATCTAAACTAAGACTGACTGCAGGGCCCGGCGCGGTGGCGCAAGTGGTTAAAGGTCCTCGCCTAGCACGCCCGGGATCCCATATGGGCGCCGGTTCTAATCCCGGCAGCCCCGCTTCCCTTCCAGCTCCCTGCTTGTGGCCTGGGAAAGCAGTCGAGGACAGCCCAAAACTTTGGGAACCTGCACCCGCGTGGGAGACCCGGAAGAGGCTCCTGGCTTCAGATTGGCATAGTATCGGCCCGTTGCGCTCACTTGGGGAGTGAATCATCGGACGGAAGATCTTCCTCTCTGTCTCTCCTCTCTGTATATCCGCCTTTCCAATGAAAAAATAATAAAAATAAATCTTTAAAAAAAAAAAAAAAAGACTGACTGCAGCAGCATGCAGATAAACAGATGGCCTCTGATATGTTTCAGAAGAACCACAGGCATTGGTGATGTTTGAATGGGGAGTGAGGAGAGGCAGCGATGAGACCTCCTGACATCCAGGTCTTCACAATTTCTCTCAGATCAGAACCACCATCCATCCTAAATAAGTGCTAGACAAGTCCAGCTTTTAGAAACTGAGCAGGGATCCAACTTTTAAAATCTTGCTCATGGGCTCTTAACTTGGAAAGAACAATCCATCTTCTGCCAGCAGGACAAGTGCACACAGGCCGCCAGGGTAAGTATTGCACAACAGGCAGAGGCTGAACTGTGTGAGAATGGGGGCTGTGCTAGAAGAGGAAACTTCTGCTGGGTGGCTGGAGGAGGGGAGGAGGAGAGCAGAGGGCGACCGTGGGAAGAGACCTCAGTGCATTTCCTGATGTGCCTGGAACAGGGCTGCCCGATCTCCAAGGGGAACACCAGGGAGAAGGCCTGTGCCAAGCTGGTGATCTGTGTTTCCCACAGAAGGGCTCAATGCTGAGTTCAGAAAACTGCTTAGTACTATGGGCTCAGAAATGAACAAGAGCTCCCAGTTCTGCTTTGCAAGGAGTTCACTGAGGAAGCCCACTAGTGGTGCTGGGGCAGCCAGCTCATCTCTTTGGTGTTCCTCATCTGCCCAAGAGGTATGTCTCAGGTCAGGCCTTTCCCTTCCCCAGTTCCCTTCTATCCTCAACATCCCTTGACTCCGCCCAGCAGGGCTCCCGTTTTATTCTCATCATCACCTCCTACACACACACACACACACCCTCAGCTTACTCTCTTAACTGCTCCAGGCTCCCAAATCCCAAATTATTAGCAAAACAAAAGGCTCTTGCTATTGTGAGCCAGGCTCTGAGAAGTATCTGTGCAAGTACACACAGAGCTCAGCGGGCACGGAGGGGTCCTCTCACAGTGGGCAAGGATAGCGTACCTGTCAAAGGAGGGCCGCTCCCCGGCGTCAAAAGCATCCCTGAGCTGCTTCACCAGGTTGTCCTGCCCAGGAAGCCGGAAGATGCCCTCTTCATTCAGGCCATGCTCCAGGATGAACTCTGCACACTTCTCCACCAGGATGGGCACTGGATGGGGCCCAAATTTCTGTTCATAGGCCACAGTCTCATCTAGGCGCTGGCCAAACACTGCTGCAAAGAGAAAAAGGAGGCCCTGTCCATCACTGTCACCTTCCTTGGACCAGCCACACAGGTCAAAGTGATTTGTTTCTCAGTCCTGCCTCGCCTGTGACTCTAAAGTGTTCAGTGTGGTAACCCTAAACAGACTATGGGAGACATATTCCCCACAATGCTATAAAGGACTATCAGTCTGGGACGGAGTCTGTCTAACTTCTATGGATTCACACAACAAGTAACTCTACTGAGCACTTGTGTGCTAGGAAGCAGGCCAGGGACTTTGCACCCCTTTTCTCATTTAGTCTTAGCAAGCAGCTGCAAAAGGCGATAGGATGATCACATCCCACTTTGCTGTTAAAGACACTGAGACCCGAAGGTACAAGGAACTTGGCAGGTCAGGCAGCATGGAGTAGGGCCTAGTAAGCATTCAAGAAATGGGCATTTGGCCTAAGAGGTTCAAAGAACAGTTAGGATGCTCATGTTCCACATCAGAGTACCTGAGTGTCATGTCTGGTTTCCGACTCCAGTTTCCTGCTAATGCAGACTCCAAGAGGCAGCAGTCAGTAGATCAAGGGGTTGGTTTGCTAGGAGGTGTGATGGAGCTTTTGACACTTTGGCCATTGCAAGCATTTGGCAGTAAGTTAGCAGATAAAGCTGTGTCTTAAATGTATAAATACATCAATACTTTAAAAATATAAAAATCCAAGTCTAGACAGTCAGCTCCTGAGAGTGTGTACTTAACCACAACAGCAAGCAGCTACTCTGCCTTGTCACAGAGCAGGAAAGCATAGCAGCCTGCTGCATGGTTGTCTCATACCATATGAAACTATGATGGCATTTCAAATACTTTAGGTTGTTTAATCTACTATCATACACGTTGCCATTGCAAACTTGTTCATATGCCTGCCAGAGTTCTAGAATGCAGATCGCACCATGCATAATTTCTAATTAATGGCTGAGTTAATTTATTAACACGTGGATGGATGAACGCAGACATTCCTTTCTTTTGAATTCTGTACTTAGGACACATTTCCACACAGAGAATCATATGACCAAATGTTTTGATCATTTGTATGATCCGATGTTAGGCAAATAGCTTTCTAAAACTATTTTTTCAAAATTATACACCCTCCAGCCACACAAGTATGGACCAACTCCACCCAAAGCCTGTCAGCACTTGGCCCTGTAATTTCCCCATCCCTGGCAGCATAATGAAATTAGTTTACAAATCAAGACCAGGTTGCCTTCAGGCTCCCGTATCCCTCATATCCTGTAAGTTCCAAAGATACTCCAAGGTTTCACCTTGTGTTACCTCATTTTCTCTTTGTTGTAACTAGGCCTTTGTTGTGCCCAACCCATTAGACCCCAGTACGTAAACTTTCTTAGTCTTCTCCATGATTTTCTGTCTCTCCATGATTTTCATGTCTGCTCTGTAATCTGACATCAACTCCACTTGCCTGAAGAACTGTATCAGGTTCTTGAACCCTCTTGAACTCTTTCCTAACCACTGCCTAGACCCAGGCTGGCCTCCTCCTTCACCTGTGCCTGCCTGCTATGGTCTCTTCTCTCTGCCATGCACAAAATTCTCCTGCAAATTACCTTTATAAACTACTGGCCTACCAAGCACTTCCTCCCACATTTCAGTAGCCACCCATTTCCTTGTTGCCACAGTGACAGTTTTCAAATGTCCCACAAAGCCCTGGGAACTTCTCAGAGCTGCTCCATCATTGTATCAGGTGCTGAGAGAAGAGAGACTAAGACTCAGATGCTAAGTGGACCTCTGGACTCCATAAGTCCAACCTGAAAAGCTGTTTGCCATGTTGCATTTCAGCCAGACTTTGATTAAATATTTCTGTGGATAAAGCTTGAAAACCAAGACAGGCATATTGGTATTTATCTTGGTATGATTTCCTACCATGATCCCAGTGGGACCTCATCCTGACATCCTCATATCATGGTGCTCTCCAGGCCCAGTGTCCTTGGACACTCTCATTTTCCTGCCCAGAGTATTCTTTGCATCCCCCACCCCCTCTGTTGGAAGTCTGGTGGTCTTCCCTGACCCTGCTTAACTATCATCATGTCACAACTTCCCTGACCCCAGCTAAGGACACTGCATTTCTATTTTGTGTACCTGTCTCATCTCTTTCAGCAGTCCCAACCCTTACCATACTGGGCTTTATTTTTTTTTAACATTTATTTTTATTGCGAAGTCAGATATACAGAGAGGAGGAAAGACAGAGAGGAAGATCTTCTGTCCAATGATTCACTCCCTAAGTGACCGCCATGGCATAGCTGTGTCGATCCAGAGCCAGGAGCCAGGAACTTCCTCCAAGTCTCCATGCGGGTACCATACTGGGCTTTAAAAACTCGTGTGTGCCTGTGTCCACTGCAAGACCATTAAGCCTCCCATTTACTGGGAACATACGGAGGTCTCTTCATTCTCAGTACACAGCATGACTATGGCATGAGACAGATGGTCAACAGCTTTAGCCAAATTACTTAATGAGCTAATTTGTCTTCAAGCAAGCATTTGTCCTAATGCTTACTGTGGCATTTCTTTAAATGCTCATAGGAATCTCCTTGGGAAATGAATTCAGCTTCACACTTAACTATATGACTAGCCAACAGTTGGCCCACAGAACAAATCATACAGGGATGCATATGGCCTGGGGTTCCCGCTTTTGATTGGTCTACCACGGAATTGAAAAGAAAAATCACAGAAAAACAGTGAGAAACAATTGGCAAATGTCAATAATCATGCTCTATTAGATTTCTATCTGTATGTGAAAGCAACTAGACAGATACGTTCACCAAATCAGAAGGACATGATTGAAATGATGTAATTGAGATCATAACCTAGGCAGATGTCTCTTGAGATGTTGAAGTTTGGGTCCTAGAATCCCACTGGACATTGACAGGAAAGAACCCAAATGCAACATAAGAATGTGCCTCGGAAGAAAGTGCTTTTGAATGTGAATTCCATGTTTAAGGTCATGAGGAGGATTCTCCACTTTGTAGGTGATCTGGAACCAAGCTCCATCCTGTATGGTTCCACAAAGCAGGCTGTCTAACTCTTCACCTGAGTCAATCGGTGCTGTCCTATGTATTATTTCTAATCCTGGTCTCAGTAAAACTTGGGCTTCATATCGTCACCATCCACTGAGTTCATCAAGCAATTTCCTCCCATCTCAGCAGGTGGTCTTCTTCCCACACATGAAAGAAGATGAGTGGACTCCCTTAGCCCTGGTCTCTGCTACTCCTTTTTCTCCATGTCCCTGTCCTGGAGACCTGACTTTCCTCGAAGCTGATGCTTTCCTGAACTTGCCTTCTGATCCTTCCAGATCTTTACCTTTGCATTCTCTTTAGATATTAAATTTCCCCCCTTTTAATTGAGTCTAGGTTTCTGCCAGTGTATGAAATAATAATCTACTACTGGAGCTCTTACGCAAATGACCAACACTTGTCTTTCTTCTCTTCACCGGTATACTTACAGAAGGATGTGTCTTCTTCCAGAGAGATGCCCACATTCACAGCTCCCACTTCCCTACTTGTCACTCACTTCTCAACCCATCACAGTCCAGATTCCATAGACCCTGCCCACGATCTCCCAGCATTGAGGGGCTTATGGACATGCCAAAGACACAGGCACACATGAGTCATTACAGCTCAACATAATAAGCGATGGGGCTACAGGGAAGGGATACCAACAGAGTATGGATGCAGTCTCTATAGCTGTGGTCAGAGAAGGGCCAGGGAAGATGACCAGACTTCCAGCAGAGGGAGATGGAGAGAATACTCTGGGCAGGACAACAAGACTATCCAAAGACACTGGGCCAGGAGAGCACCTGTGACATAGGAATGTGAGAGCAATGTGTCTCCGGGACCATGGCAGGAAATCATACCAGGATGAACACTTTCCTTAGGAATGCCTATCTTGATTTTCCATCAAATCTGCTCATTAATGCTTCAGGGCACTGCTTCATGGCCACATCCAGCCTATGTTGACTCCATATGCTCCTGGTCTTCTCTGAAGACAGACGGTATTATTATTCTTCCTCTTTAAGACTTCCTCTCCTTTCTTCCTCCTCCAGACATCCTTCTTAGGAAAGTATATATAAATTCTCCCACTTGAGTATCACCAATAAACCAATAACTCATAAATCTACATTGCTAGTCCATTTCTCTCTCTGAATCTTCATACACAAATAGTTTATATAAAACCATCATCTCTCTATTCACACACACACACTCTCTCTTTCATCATCATCATCTTCCTTCCTTTATTTCTCTCTTCAATTCCAATGTCTAATGGCAATTCTTCATCTAACTTTCCTCCCAGCCCAAACTTCTACTTTTTCTGTAGCCTTCCTCATAGGCAATGGCATTGCAGTCCACTAATCAAGCACTAAGCCCACTCCTAGATACTGAAATTATCAAACTGCTGATGCAGGGAAGCTGTACTCAATCAACTCAACCGGCAAAGGCATGAGTGTTTGAACTTTTTGCAGGACTCTCGTCTTCCTCCCTATATAGATAATGGATAAGGATACTCTAAATATCCTTCCATTAGTTCTCTGTCCTCACTGTTACTGCCAAGGTTATCGCAGAAATTTCTTTTATAAATCTATTCCTTCTCTTAGAATTGGCAAAGTATTCAGCAAGTGTAGTTAAGCATGGGTCAGGTCTTTTGGTAACTAGACATTGTGAAATCAAGACTGAAATTGGTCTTGGCTCTTCAAAATTCTAGAGTTACTGCCTTTCTTCTCAAAGGGCACCAAGTGGTCACTCCCTCTAAGCTTACAGAGCTCTTGTGTACACGTTAGTTCTGTTACCTCAAGGGCCTGGCGTTTTATGGCATCTTATTTAAACATCTCTCTCTCATTGTGATGTGGGCTTCTCAAAGGCAGACAGCCTGTCTGGCTTGCCATCTATTTCTGTCTCTTGGCAAAGGGACTGGCATATGGTAGACCTGCTGTCTCTCTCTCTTCCCATTCCCTGCTCCTTCTCTTTGC